CGAAGTGTTCGAGCCCAAAGGCACAAACAGCAGGTAAGTGCTGTGATTTAAAGTCAGCCATTTAAAATGTAATAATGTATATACACAACTATCAAACATACGATTAATAATTTTAACACGGCGGTGGTGATGTCACTCAACTTCCTTTTACTCATTTCCTGAAGCTCTATAAAAACATTGCTGGTGCTAAGTCCAGTGTCTCCTTTATTTATCAGAAATGTTCTCTTTTAGTTCGAGTGGGTGTAAAGTACCTGTGGTCTGATGCCACGCAGGGATTTTTCAAACCGTCACAGGTGTTACTTTCATTCTGAGTAAGAGCAGAGCCGTTACTGTGGGTGACACCACAGATGCCCGAGGGCAGAAAAACTCTATCAACAGTTATTTTACATTAAATATGAACATTTAATCAAAAGAATTCTACGTTTTCTGGTCATTAACCCTCCTTTGGAGGATCGTGACTCATTGTGTCACTGGTGTTTTTGTGTGTTTCATTTCTAACACATCACGTGTGTCATATTTAACACCATATTGTAGCAAATAAGCGTGAAAACAATAAAAGATCAGCTCCTGATTTGCTGCATTACATGGATTATTTTGCTGTGACTCGGGAAATAATAGTTCATAAAAGCCTTTAAAAATGCCACAGGAGCAACACCAGTGCCAAAAACACCAAAGCTCTTTAAGTCAATGTACAAAAGAGACTTTAAAAACATTAAACTCTGATTTATGGGAAGTCAACAAGTGACCACGTTATTAATACTCCATCTGTAGAATGAGCCCCAACATCTGAAGAGGACGGCGTGGATTATAAGGTGGGCACAGAGGAGGTACAATAACTCACAGTCATAAAGTTACTTATAAAACTGGTTATTTACTCTATTTTATAGATAGTCCCGCCATAAATCCAGTCGACTGCAGCAAATTTACCGGATCAAATAAGACCAGTAGACAGAAGACACACATACACACACGACCGGGTTTGTTCCCATAAAGTTTCTTAGCTTTTTCTTATAAATTGTGCCGTTTTATGCAGGTCTGACTGCCTTCTTCCTCGGTATCCTGCCGCACATGTCGCAGCTGCGCTCTCCTCTCTGTTTACCTCCTGTTAGCACACGTAGCTTGCCGGCTAGCTCACCTCATTCTCCTCCACTTCCTCGGCCTCTCCATCGCTGCTGCGCTCGCTCTGGTTGTCGGAGAAGTCGCTGTCCTCGCTGTCGGACATCTCGTCTCTGCGGACAGAAGCACTTTCAGCAACGGAAAATTTCACAAAGCAGCTCGGTGAAGCTTGAATCGAAGTCCGGCTGCGCGGCCACAACAACCAGAAGGGCCCAGCAGGAGAGGCTAATGCATAGCACAGAGGCAGGGTCCAATAACCCCGCCAGCAGCTGCAGTCAGAGCTTAAATAACGAGCTCCACGGGTCGTCCTTACCTGCTTCAACCAGAGGGAGCCGGTTTAATCCAGATCTTTGATGAATAAATATGAATATAAGCTTATTTCTGCCTCTCTGATGATTCTTTGCGTATTCTCGGGGAACAGCGAGATTTCGGAAAGCTGCTCAAAAACTCTCGCGGGGTTTTGCACAATGGGTAGGTAAACGATGACGAGGTGCCACTCCGCCATGTTTTGAGAACACGTTTGTTTCTTCAATTTGCCAAACGGCTAAAGTAAAAAACAAACAAACAGATAAATCATAAATATAAAAAAGTATACGTATATGTACATAAAAGTAAATTAACCAAACACATACATCTTTAAGTTTTTCAGTTTAGAGACTAAGCTGTTTTATTAGAGAAAAGGCATAAAAAATATTTATTAAAAATAATTAAATAAATAAAAACTACAAAAAAGCAACACAAATTGTTAGAAATCATTTTGAAAAATGAAGAGGACATGAATTTAAACTTGCTACAAAGAAAAACGGAAGAAGAAAAATACAACTACATACTATATATGATTGTTATTTGCCACAAATGATTATGGCAGCCTTAAAAGTACATTTTAGTAAATAGATCAACATTTGAAATATTTCCATTATATAACTATGTATTTTTAAAACACTTCGGGTTCGTAATTTCTCCTCAGAGTGAATGCTCTCTTTTGTACAAATCTTTGTTACGTCCTCACGCAGGTACGCCGTTTTCTCCAAACCAGCCAATCACATGGCGCACTCCAAGGAGAGCCACAGTGCGCATGTCGTTGTCGCCGACCGGGTTGGAACAGCAGGTAGGTCCTCCAGGTTTCGCTCCTCTGTCGTTTCTGAGCCGAGCGGTGTTTTTTTTCCCGGAGATGAACAGCGTGGGGGAGGCCTGTACCGAGCTGAAGCGGGAATACGACACCTGCTTCAACCGCTGGTTTGCCGAGAAGTTCCTGAAGGGCGACCGGAGCGGCGACCCGTGCACGGAGAGCTTCCGGAAGTACCAGCGCTGCGTGCAGGCGGCCATCAAGGAGAAGGAGATCCCCATCGACGGCGTGGACTTCATGGGGCCCAACAAGGACAAGCCTGAGAGCTGATGGAGGGCTGCTGGGGAAATCCTACAAATGCCCACCGAGCATGCGCAGGAGCGGACAAGCTGCTGTCTCTGGGGTTAGAGGGTGAAGCGGCCCCTGAAAGAGCCGTCTCTTTAATTTTAAGCTTTTCTCTTTTACTGCACAGCTCTGTTCGGACTTCGTTTCTCAGCAGAGACACTTACCGCCCAGTTTTCCCCCAGAGAGCTGCTGTCAGACCTGAAACTGAGCCAAAACTATCTGAATCCAATTACTAACCAGCTAAAGCTCCTCCATGACGGCCTGCGTGCGCGTTATGAAGCGGTGGCAGCCTGTAGCCATGCATTTGCAAATGCATGGCTAAAATAAGATGTGATGCTGAAAACTCTTCTGACTGATGTCATGTGTGCAAAACTCAATCTTGCATTGTACGAATGAATTAAAGGGAGCTCGGTGTTGGAGCAGGACACGTGCACATGGTGTGTTTTTACTCTCTCACGCGTCGACGTCTCTCCTTATGTTTCTGCAGGTTTTTCTTTATCATTCGGAGTATTTTCAGTGTAAAGACCAGTTCTGTCTCATATTCCTCCATTTCAGCGACAGACGTTCAGGTTAAACACGACCAGAGTTGTGAAGCGGCTCCTGCTTTGCACTGAAAGCACTTCGTTCTCACATCCCGGATGCTCTGACGTGCAAGCCCGGTGGAGCTTACACGTATCAAAGCCCTGCCTGGTCCTGGGCCCGGTTTGTGAGGGGGGTACGACGGAGGGAGCTTAATGAGTTCATGAGGCAGAGTCAATGTTTTCAGTGCCCTGAAGGTGGCGCTATTTTCACCATGACAAATGCTCAGAGTTTGAGCTTGAAGTCAGCTGGGAGCACTGGTCCTCTGCATGCATCCAGCCAGTAACACCAGTAATAATAATAATAATAATAACTTTATTTATAAAGCGCTTTCAAACAAAGTGCTGCACAACTATTTGAAACTAAAAAGATAAAAAAATAAATAAAAGCGATACATAGCAATACAGGTAAAAATGAATGCAGCTGTTCAAACAGGTAACGCAGACAGGTTTTGTGTTTTGGTCTAAATCTGCTGCAAGATTCAGACTGATGCTACTAGAACACAAGAAAATGAATCAGTCTCGTCTGCAGGTTGTTAATCAAGAAGACTCGCTCATTAAATTCACTTTGGCTCATCGGCCAACAAACTAGAGTGGTTTACGTTGAGGCGGCGGGACAGAGCGTTAATGTTTAAATGTTTCCCAGCTGGAATGTTAGAGATAAACAGCAGCACTGAGCGCGCTCAGAGGATCCATAAATATAGTTATTGTAGTTCCTGCTGTGTGTCCGGTTATTACATCACCAGGATTACTGTGTGTATGGTACTTCACTCTGTTTGAGCATGTTTATACAACCCAAGTACAAAATAGTTTAGTCTGTTGTGTAAAACGTAAATAAAAGCAACGCAGTGACTTCAAGTCTCATAAACGGTATTTAATTCACAGTAAAACACAGAAACATATCAAACTGTGAACATGAACTATGGTGATAAAAATGTGAGCTCCTTGTGAACATGATGGCAGCAACACGTCTGTAAAAGTAGGACAGGTCCATGTTTGCTCTCTAACATCAGTCTGATGGAGGATTCCAGCTGCTCAGCAGTCCTGGCTCTGCTTCGTCCTCTTGCTGCTTTCATGAAGCTCCAGATGTTCTCAGCTGGTCCGAGGTCTGGACTGCAGGCTCCTCTGAAGCCGTGAGGCTGTTATAGAAGCAGTCAGCAGTTCAGCGTCGTCCGGCTCAAATACAAAGGCCTTCCTGAGAAACATCAGCATGGAGCAGATGTTGCTCTTAAACCTGTTTATACAGGTTTTACAGATACAGTTTGTGTAGATTGGCGATTTTTCTGCTCATGAGTTACAATATGATGCTTCCAGCTGTTTCTTCTTAGTAACTGCGGCGCTGCCACTCTTTCAGTAAGCTGTCCAAACTGTTGCTGCCGTCAAGATGACCTGATAGTTTTCTGTTTTTCTGATGTTTCCTGTGCTGTGAATAAAATGTGAGTTTTGCTTTTTTTTTTCCCGCCTGTCCCGTTTGGTTCTTTTGCATCAGATTTATTGTCTAAAGGCGAAGAAAGATGCCCAACGCATTTACTTTACCAAATGGACCATCCCAGCTGTGCTGTCATGGTCTGTTTGATTCACCTTATATTGTTTATTTTATTTATTTTCACTTGCTCCACACGGGACAGACTTGACTGGGGAAAGAAAAACAGCGGGAAAAAGGAACGGGGAGAAAGGCAAAAAAAAAACAAAAAAACAAAAAAAAAAATCCATCCATCAATCACCTGGATCACCTGTAGAGAAAGAAAAAAGAAAAGAGTAATATAATAAACAACATCATAATGATCTATGTGAATATAACAGTAAATACTAAATATTAAACATCATATCCACCCGCTCCACCCGCTCATATGTAGTGTTGATGCATGTGTGTTCATGTGTGTTGGACAGCATTTTTAGCCCCCCCAGACACTGAAACGATGTCTCACACTTTGATGAGCTCTTTAGAGAAGTTTAGAGGAGCCAGCTGAGTTTGGCTGGAGGATGCTCACCCACTGGACCCTGAACACGAGTAGAAGGTATCCACGGAAACAGACTTGAAAACAGGCCGTATCTTCTCTCAAACACTTAGTTTGTTTGGATCTGGTTTAAATAAGACTCTGAAGATAAAAACAAGATGGTTTCCAGCTGTTCGTACTAAAGTGCCTAAACTCCCAAATAGTGGAGCCGATCCAGTTAATGTACAATGGAATTATACTGACATCTGGCAGTTCGCCCCAGGGTGGCTGTGGCTACAATGTAGCTGCCATCACCAGTGTGTGAATGTGTGTGTGAAGTGCTTTGGGGTCCTTAGGGACTAGTAAAGCGCTATACAAATACAGGCCATTTACCATTAATAGGAAGTGATCGGTTCTTCTAGACTAGCTCACAGCAGGCTCCCAGTGGGCTGTTAGAGTCAATGCTGATTGAGGATGAACTGAGGGGCTTCGTAGATATGATGCCAAGCTACACTAGAACTCTCCAAGCTCTAAAAATGTGACTCTGGGACTTTCCCATTTGACGCTCACTTACCTGGAAATAATTCATTTTTACCATCTAACTTTACACGAACGTTTATCTAACCAAGCTGTACAAAAAGACAGAAGGGGGTCATTTTATTCTGAAGGTGCAAGAAAGAAGAGTGAACAGCGCGTATCAGCTTACATTCAAAATGAAGTTTATTGTACTGAACTAAATACAGGAACATCAGATCAAAGCAGGGAGAGAATGAGCTTATTAGACAAGTGGAAAAAGCTTTACATGTTCATGAGGTTTACGTCAGAGCTGTATAGGAGCATATTTTGGCCACAGTAGGCGTAAGCAGTGCTGTCCTTGCAGCTGTCCATTGCCTTATAAGGTCTGATGCATGAATAATGTGGCAGTGGCTTTCGACGGAGCCAGTTGTGCGATCCTCAGGAAGTCCCACATGCTCGGAAACTGTCGCACATTTCTGTGTCTGTGGTTGTGAAATATGTAGACAGATCTGTTTTCCTCCCGCCATCCTTGGTGTTCTTCCATCAGTTTACCAAGGCCACTGTCCAACTGCTTGGTAGAAGCCTTATTAATATAATAATACTCATTATTAGCAGATACAAATACAGATATTTAAAGCACATTAAAGTGACCAGCGTGCTCTCAGCATCTGACTGCAGCTTAGTTGGGACCTGACTGTGTCTTCTTTATGACGTCATCAGTGAGATGTTATGTTGGCTGATGAGTTGATATGAGACCACAAGCAAGCTTTTTCCACCCAGAACTCCGCATTAGCCTCTAGCTGTACCTCAAACACCACCGAGCTGCATCATGCATTCTGCACTTTATTTGTGTGCAGGAGGTTTAATAGAAAGTTAACGAAAAGAAAGTCATGCCATGTAGTCTCTCCTGAAAGTCCTAACAGTAGTCACTGTTAGATTTCTCAACAGTCCATAGAAGATGTTCAAGAAAGGTCGTTGCATTTTGCTCCTTCATGACCTCACAACGACGACACTTTGGCGCCGTCTGCGGAGAGGAAACAGAAATGCGTGTTATTGTCTGGAAGAAGATGGGAACTTGAAGGGCAGTTGGAGCATTCAAGGTTTTCACCAGAAACTTCCTACAACCCATAAGTCTTTGGGACATGGTGTAACCAGCCTTTAGCTGTAATGTTGGAGTACCCCAGGGCTCTATGCTAGGTCCTCTTCAGCTTCTACTCGAATGTTCTGCCTCGATGTTCAAATCAGTGCAGATGGTACAGTAATGGATTGTACAGTGCTGTTAACCAGTAACTGAAACAAAACTTACATCACAGTGTTGAAGTAAATATAGTTGGGACAAAAAGCAACACTGATATCTCTTCACGTGACATAATCTACCAGCAACGCTCCTCACTGTGGGCTTTAATCCTGTAATGGTTACATTATCATTACAATTCTCACTTCTAAGTACCAAATGTGAACTTGTGCTTAAATAAAGAGCAGTTCCTCCTCTGAAGGAATCAGTGAGGTGCCTTAAAAAACCCAGAGACTGACTTTAAAACTGCATAATCCAATATAGGTGCAGGCGGGCTGAAGCCTATCCCAGCTACCACAGGGCATGAGGCAGGTACATCCCAGACAGGTCACCAGTCTGTC